AAATTGTCCACATGCTTCTTGTGGATTTCAATGGCTTCTCTGTGTAGTCTGACATGGTGGTTGTGAGAGTGTATTATCAAATAATATGCTGTGTCCAGGTTGGTTCATCAGCCTCTAGACCATGGCCATATAGCCCGAAAAAACCTACAACAACCCAATTGAGGTTTAGTTTGTTCTTGGGCCCATTTATATTTTTTGGCAATCTCTGGTATCTTTAGACTAGTCCTCCAGCATCACATTTTCAATGATCTGACCTTTTTCTTCAGAGTTTGCTTGACTTTCCAGTTTTCCCAGTCACACATAATCATCAGAAATACTGTTGCCTGGACGATTCTGACTTTGATATTTAATGATGTGTATTTGCACTTGAGAATCTGATCTAGTTCCTTCATGGATACCTTTCCAAGACTTAGTCTGACTTTTTAAAAACCATGATCTCTGTCTTCATTAGTAACTGAACCAAAATATAGGAACTATTTCAATGTCTCTCAGGCCTGGGTAAATGAAATCACAGCTATGGCTTCTGTGGTTATCAGGACCTTGCTGTATTAAAAATCCGCTGTTCAAAATGCAGTTGAACTATTGTATATTTGAAACATATTAAAACATTAATCTATATAAATAAAAATGTAATGTTCGTTTGTGGGATTACCAGAACTCAAAAACCACTGGACGAATTGACACCAAATTTGGACAATTAAGCATCTATCAGGCCAATATATGTCTTTCACTAAAAAAACTGATTTTGTCATTTGGGAGTTGTAGTTGCTAGGATTTATAGTTCACCTACAATCAAAGAACATTCTGAACCCCACCAACAATGGAATTGAACCAAACTTGGCACACAGTTCTCCCATGACCAACAGAAAATACTGGAAGGGTTTGGTTGGCAGTGTCCTTTGGTTTTGGAGTTGTAGTTCACCTACATCCAGAGATCACTGTGGACTCAAACAATGATGGATCTGGACCAAACTCTACACGAATACTCAATATGCCCAAATGTGAACACTGGTAGACTTTGGGGAAAATAGAATCTTGACATTCGGGAGTTGTAGTTACTGGGATTTATAGTTCACCTACAATCACAGAGCATTCTGAATCTCACTAACGATAGAATTGGGCCAAACATTCCACACAGAACCCCCATGTGGGCCACAGCAACGCATGGCAGGGGACAGCTAGTATATTTATAAATATACCAAAGCATAAATCTCCTTGCCAGCAAAATTATGTATTAATTATAGTATGGCATGAGCACCCTGGTGTCGCAGCATGTTAAACTGCTGAGCTGCTGAACTTGCTGACTGAAAGGTGGGCAGTTCGAATTCGGGGAGTGGGGTGAGCTCCCACTGTTAGGCTCAGCTTTTGTCAACCTAGCAGTTCAAAAACATGCAAATGTTAGTAGATCAATAGGTACTGCTTACCTTTACTTATGCAACGCTTTTGTTGAAGGGCAGATTTGTACAACTGTACCAAGCCACTAGATGTGCAGCTGAATGCACACTGCAATGTGCTTGGGAACCAGTGTGCAATGCTCCTGGTGCATGACATGTGCAGCTACAATGTAGAGCTGCACCAGGAATTGGCACCCCATATACAACCTCATTTCTGCAACCTTGAACTCAATGTGGACATTATACATAAGGCAGAAACCTCCATCCATCCATCCATATTTGGAGGAGAAATTATGTGCGTGCCTCAAAAATAAGCCCACTTGAAATAGAAGAGCTTTATTTAAAAAGAACAGGTACAGCTATGCATCAAAGCATTGTCAGATCTGAGAGACCTTTTTTCTGATGTTACAATATTTATAGATTGTACGTTTAAACATTTTTCCTGCATTATTCTTATTCATCCAAGAAGAAGTCTATTATACTCTCTGTGGCCTTTTTATTCATGGCTCAAGCAATTAAAACATTGTCTCTTTCCCCCATTTCCATCTTTCACAAGAGGAAGACCTTGGTTAGCTCCCTATTTTCATAACAAGTCTGCAACTCATTCTGTTTTGTTATCTGCAGGTGTCTCGTTAATGCGATGACACTGAGCCAGCCTCTAGCAACTTCTGAAATACACTCACATTCTCATTAGTAACGGACGTATACATTTCTTAAGAGAGCATAACAGGACAACTACTGCTGAATAACATACCACTCTAGAGCAAACTACATATTATCTATCAAGCATGAAGTAACAATATGATATAACAGCATGGCTATATAAAGAATGGCAGATTCTAATCATAGAATCCCGACAGAAAGATTCTAGGCAAGGTATGGGAAAACCCAGACCCGGGGGGCGAATGCGGCCCTTTGGGATCTTTTCTCAGGCCCTCCTCTCTCTCACCATCCTATCCTTCCTTCCTTCTCGCTTTCCTTCCTCCTTCCCTCTCTTTTTCTTTTTCCCTTCCACACTTTTGTCCTTCCTTCCTCTTTCCTTCCTTCCCTCCCTTCCTTCCCTCTTTCTCTCTCCCTACTTCTTTTCCTTCCACCCTTTCATCCTTCCTTCCCCCCTCCCTTTTTCTCCTCCCCTTTTGTTTTTTCTTCCTTCTCTCTTTCCTCCCTCCCCTTTCTTTTTCTCCCTCTCTCCATTCTCTTCCACCCTTTCATTCTTCCTTCCCTCTTTCCTTCTTCCTTCCCATCCTTCCATCCATCTGTCCCTTCCACCCTTTCATCCTTCCCTCCCTTTTGTCTTTTCTTCCTTCTAACTTTACTTTCCCCTTACCTCCCTCTCCTTCCTTCCTTCCTTCCTTCCTTCCTTTTTGTCTTTCCTTCCTCTTCTCTTTCCTGCCTCCTTCCCTCTCTCTCTCTTTCTCCTTCCATTCTTCCCTCCCTTTCTCCCTCCCTCCTTCTTTCCCTTCTACCATTTCATCCTTCCTTCCATCCTCCCCCCTCTCCCTTTCTTCTTCATTCTTTCCTTTTTGTCTTTCCTTCCTTCTCTTTCCTCCCTCCCCTCCCT